TGTAAGGCTCGATAATTTAAATTATGTTCTCTCTACTATCCATACATAAGTAGAAATGATTATTTCTATTTTTCAAACGAGATCAAATATCTACATCCTTAGAAAGACCTGGGAAATAGGTAAAGCTAAACAGCATAGGTGGATGAGATTGGTAAAGGGGGGCGAGGGAAACTGCTGGCAGCACAATATAAAGGTTGGAAAAGAAATTGTATTATCTTAACTAGAACTTAACGATATAAAAGGAAGTTATAGTACCTAAAATAATTAACTATTAAGACTCCAAGAGGTTTATTAGAATAAGCTACGCAACTATTAACTATAGAGTTATGACTACCTATTATTTTCTCCCCCTTCGTCCTAGTCGGGATCCTCTATCCATGATTAGGTTCTTTCATACTTGATATTAATTTATTCCGCTTCTACCTAAAACAGTTTAGAGACTATTTATACTTTATTCGGCGGCGGATAGGGGGGTGGACCATGGCAGGTAAAGGTAATATCCTGTATTGATCGAAAGATACGTACTTTGTATCGCGGTGAAGAGTTGCAACAACAGGTCGTCTTATAGGTACTTGAAACTCATTTCAACGTATTATCAATTCTTTTTAAACATGCCAGAGCGCCATTAATCGCACACTAGTCAGCTATCCAGGCATGGCACCCTATACTCGTCCCCAATACGTTTGGCGGTATCGTTGAACATCAACCTGAGCCAGAGGGAAAATGTATTGATAATGCTCCAAACCAGTGGTTATTCGATCTATGCTCAAACCCTGATTTCCGGAGTACCTTTTGGCTTGCGACATTCATCTTTTCCGCCTTACCAAGCACTCGCTCTTTGACTTTGGGCGGAGAATCAGTAGACAATTCTTCTTGACCTCCAGGTCCGTGTATAGTGTCAGGGTGTACTTCGAAGGTTGCAGTACTACGAGGAAGATTCCAATAAAATTGCAAAAGGGCTTGGACAGCCTCAGTCGCGCACCCTTGGCCCCAATACTCTTTTCTGATCATGTAAGCGAGGTTAGGCCAACCTCTACCAAACTGCAAAAATAGTTCCCCAACGAAGTCTCCTTCTTGGCCATCAGGAGATCGACAGAGAACTGAAAAATATAAGTTTGTATCGGACCAAGGTCTCATGCAGTCTACGAGTGCTCCAAAATTCAAGTTTAGGTCATATTGAGGATTAGATCCACCTACATAAGCTAAAGCTGTGACTTCTGGTTGACTGTGAAGGATATTATACCCCTCTATATCTTTTAAACGAAGCGGCCGAATAATAAGGCGATCGGTGACGATAGGGTTAGCCCACGTTTGTACCTCTAAGACGGGAAGGGTCGTCTCTATGGTGATATTAGGGTTTTCTGGTCCGCAGGAGCCACAGAAATAATCCGCCATAACGAAAAAAATAAAAAATAAATCAGGAATCCTAACTAACTGTAGCAAGGTCTGACTGTAGATCGAGCGAGTTAGAGGTATTTACAAATCAATGTTGTCTATGTGCTTCGAACACAGGTAATGGGCGAGATTAGATTCGTAGAGGAATAGGGCAATGGCTCCCTTTGTATTTGTTTTTTGTTCTGTTAATTAACACGATGGTTTGGGCAATTAACTAAACTAGAAAGCGCTAGTATATGTTCTTATAGTAAAGGAAAAAAAATATTATTTATTGTTTGGAGTGTTTTTAGGCACATTGGGGGTACGCTGGAATAGATTCATAGTTGTGTCTAAACAATGTTATTATATTACGCACCTGAGTATAACAATGGAATTTCTCGCTCTTTAATTCTATGGAACAATATCTTTGGGAATAGCTACGAGCTATGCTATCGATATTGAACAACATGACCCCCCTGGAACGAAGTCATTCGACCTGCATGTTCTTGATCTATAACATCTATTATGTGCCTACTCGATATCATTCGTTTAGGAACCGGACTGCTGTTCTTACACAACACCGGGAATTAGAAGCTATATATGATGGGACTTATGGCTTCATCTAGAAAATAACTTGACCAGATCATTCGACATCACCTTCGAGATCAAAGAAAAACATCCTGTTGAAAAGCAATTTCTACAGAACACCAGATCTTAACATTCCTACTCTCAATTTAAAACCAACACTACTTGAGTACTCAAACTAAGTGCACAATGACCGCTCTTCTAGGTCCAGTGACAGTTTTCCAAATAGGCAGTGTAGTCTTCAGTTTGACGCCTTGGTTGCTCATCTCAGCCGCAGATGTCATTATCCGCTTTGAAAGTAATGGGTTTCTTAACTCTACAATTCGCTGGGTCATGTTAATGGCGTGCCTCTGGACTATTCGTATGAGATTGTATCCTACAATACGTCGCCGTCGATACCGCAACTGGTTTAGAGACTTATGTACTCACATTATATTCGCTTCTTTTGATGCATTCGCACTCACGATGGCCGATTATCGGATCTTCACCAGCAACTGGTGGGAGGCAGTAAAGGCACTCGCGATCGCCTTTACGTACTTTAAAATATATCACGTTATCGGAAAAGGTCCTACTATCCCAGAGCCTTACGTATTACGGTCCAATGCTGATTCTGGTCGCACTCCGACCCCCATTCCCGCCCCTGTCCCTACCCCTGACAATGTGCCGGCTCCTGCACCAGCTCCAGCTCCAGCACCAGCTCCAGCTCCAGCTCCAGCACCAGCTCCAGCTCCAGCTCCAGCTCCAGCTCCAGCTCCAGCACCTGCACCTGTACCGGCCCCAGCACCGGCTCCAGCACCGGCTCCTGCCCGCCCCCACACTTCCTCCTCCCTCACTTGCTCCCTTCCCTGGTCCCTTACCTTCTCCGCTACCTCCCGTGGCGCCTGTTCCCGCTCCCGCTCCCGCTCCCGCTCCCGACGCCGAGTTCAATTTCAAGACATACCAAAAACCTCGGGTCCGGCTCAGGTACGATACCAGAGCCAGGAGAAAACCAAGTATCATCCTCAAGGCCAGCCCACAACCCAACACACGGCAAACCCCATTCAATGGACGACGGCCGGGCCGTCAACGAAGGCCCCGCCGGCGGCACAGCCTTACCCTGTGCAGCCGGAGATGAAGCGAGCGTGCAACGGATCGTTTCCGGCTAACGCGATACACACCCTAGCGTATCCGAAGAAGAAGTAGTCATCAGAGCTTAAGAGCTAGGGGGATATGTGAATCCTCTGATTTTTTTTTTTTTCCTGCGAGCAGGAGTTGTCTATTAAGTATGAAAAAAATTTGAAAAAAAAAAAAAAAAGAAGCCAAAGAAAAAAACAAAAAAAAATAGTATTAAGATAGACTAGCAATATGTTTAGATTTGTCTTAATAAAGAGTCCTTGTCGTATACGACCCTGCTTCACTTAAAATTGTATCTGAATCGTTAACCTGACTGATGCAAATGAGATTGTATCAACACATGAAACCTATAACCAGCTTATTACGCTTCTTAGTTAGTTTTTATAGTTCTAGTCTTCTTTATATCATGACTAACATATTAAAATGCCTGTTTTCGAGTTTTCCCTGGTCCCCTTTTTTCTAGCTTACTTCCCTTCCCCCCACACTACCACCTGATTGGCAAGCAATATAATGACTAATAGTCAATGACTCTAAAGTGGTTTGTTGGCTATTTATTGACTGTTAACTAATATCCTAGGTAATTGATAACCGGGAAGTTATCTTCTTATACCTTACGTTAGGTAATTTCCCATTTTTAATATGGCTTATTGCATAATATATATTCAATCCATAGTCTGTAGTGATACCTACTACATCTCTATCACCTTTAGCAAACAATATTTCATAAAACAAGATGACCTCTTAAAGATACCCTCTTTCTCACCTCAGTTAACCTATATTGCTATCTTAACAATCGTTCATGTGCCCTCTATCTCCATTATGTGATATAGTCTTACTAAATTTTATTTTACTCATTTGTAACTGCTTCACCTTGAGGTATGTGATGCTTATCCGAATACTGATAGCAGTTATCTCATATCTTGCCAAGTCGGAGCCGGCCTATGTTGCACCAACGCAACCATTTTCCCTTGGCTACCATCGTATAATTGGGGAAACATACTATAAATTGCTTTCGCCATAGTCGGGGTCCGGAGTGGGTTATCGCTCCTTACTGGGTTCTTATCTACGTATCCATAAACAGCGGCAAGGCCCGTTGGGTACCGGCAATGTTAAGGTTATATTGCGATGTCGTTATCGATGATCTTCTATCCGTCTGCAGTAACTGTATAGGTTCTATCTACAGTTACATGCGGTGCATAGTGTGACGATTAAAAGCTCCAATTGCCGTTGGAGTCACAGAGGGGTATAAATGCCTTGTTACAATGAGTACCGCTAGTCAATGTTTCTTTAATCCTAATATACTACTGTACGGTTCTTTAGCCATAGAGAGAATATGATGCTGCTACTCGTCTACACGGTACTATTTCCTTCTGCGTTTGGCAATGCTATTAGACCACCCCCGATAGGCTATCAGAGACAGATATTATTACCCAAATTTGCCCTGGACAATGATTCATCCAAGACGGCCCCGTGTTCAACATGTTCACTATATGAGCCAGCAGAAAAAGTGACTGCTCCAAAGGCCAATGCCTGGGCTCAAATAGGGCCGGAAGATAATCTGGCTGTCTGGAATCTTCTCCACGACCCTGCTTCCAAATTAAATCTAACAGATCCAGATACGGCAAAGGTGAACGACAATTATGTGTGGTATATAGATACCGTGCCCGTTAATAAATCCGATGTCCTTCCATACCTAGATGGATCCGGGCTAAAGCCCAGTTCGTGGGCTCGAGTCATCATATTCGAAGGCGGCAGACCTGAACCGGTGTCACAGGAGTACATGGTCGGTCCCTTGCCTGTGTCAAATGAGACCGTTATCCAGAAACTGGACTATCCGTTCAATGGCGGGACGGGAGGTGCCGTGCCTTTCAACGGGCGATTTTTCGAAAAAGCGAAGTGAGGCCGCAGAGCCCCTATTGGTTTCCGTGATGTCTAACCTCACTGATATCACGTCTGCACTCCTCGGTGGTGTTTTCTACGGCTATAATGATCCCAAGTCGACGCTGGTAGCGGCTCCTACCACTCCCACTTCATTTAATGGAAGCCAGGCGTTTCAGGTTATCATGTTTAGGCTTCCTGGGCCTGCTAGTTATCTGAGGCCACTAGATTTCTACGTTATGCTCGACACTACTGGCACAGATGCTTCGCTGTATAAACTCAAGGGGCTGGTGACGAACACGCGATTCTTTCGGACGGTCGCGGAGCTTCGCGCAGCATTCGAAGCAGATGAGCTAGTCGAGGAGTTTTACCAGCCATCCGACTACGACTGGGCGTTGGTTAAGTATAACGCTGCGATGGGGACCCGTGAACTAGAAGATAAGTTCGCGCCGCAGAATCTCGAAGTCGGTGGCAAGCGGTATAAGCTAGACCCGGAGCAGAAATACGTCGAGTACTTGGGATGGTCATTCTACGTCACCCACTCACAAACCCTCGGTATCATGCTTTATGATATTCGTTTCAAAGGCGATCGGGTGCTGTATGAGTTATCGATGCAAGAAGCCGCTGCGCAATATGGGGGTTTCCAGCCAAAGGCCGCTTCGACCCTGTATCACGATACATATTTCCAGTTAGGCGCCGATTTGTTCCCGATGGTTGAGGGGTTTGACTGTCCGTTCGGCTCTACATTCTGGAACGTGACTGTTCATAACGGAAATACATCTACTGTTAATCCGAATTCTATCTGTATTTTTGAGTCAGATGCGGGGTTTCCCCTATCTCGACACCGCGAAGGGGACGTGTCTAATAACTACGGCTTTTCCAACCTTGGTCGTAAAAGGATCGTTGTTGACACTACGATCCATCGCCACGGTAGGGAATTATGACTATCTATTCGATTATGGATTCCATATCGATGGCAGTTTGGAGATCACGGTTCGAGCATCGGGGTATCTGCAATCCTCATTTTTCTTCCGCGACCAGGGTGCGTGGGGTCCTCGCATCCAAGAGGCTACGCAAGGATCGCTACACGACCATGTGCTGACCTGGAAAGCCGACTTTGATATCCTCGGCACTGAGAATAACCTGCAAGTGACAGAGCTCAAGACGGTCAACACGACGCAGCCATGGTGGCCAGAGCTTGGCGAGTTCGAACAGATCGCACTGGAAACTTATAATGTCAAAAAAGAGCGAGAATTAAGCTGGGCAAATAATGGACAACTCATGTACGCAGTGAACCACGCCAGCGAGACGAACAAATGGGGTTCGCCGCGCGGATACCGCATCGTGCCAGGTAAATCGAATATCCGACTCAGCACGCTGAAGTCGCCATTCTCACGACACAACACCGCGCTGTCCAAGTCGCATCTAGTCGTAACGCGGCAGCATGATACGGAGCCATGGGGTAATAGTATCCAAAATCTCAACATGCCCTGGAAGCCACAGCAGGACTTCTCCAAGTTTTTAAACGATGAAAGCGTCGAGGGCACGGACCTCGTCATGTGGCTGAACCTGGGCATGCACCACTTTACGCGCAGTGAAGATATCCCTGTAACACTGTACTCCGAAGCCGTCAGCAGCATCATGTTCGCGCCGCAGAACTTCTTCGATCAATCTCAGGACGGCGACCTTAAGAATAGGAGGTGGTATACTGCACCGGAGACAACGGATAATAGCAATGCGACGGAGCTTGTTAGCGAAGCATACGGGATCAATTTGCCGCAATGCAATGTAGCGTTACAAGAGCCTACCGTCGCGCCTATTATACAGCTAGAATAAGTATTTCCTAGCTCTTTAGGAAGGGGTATCCTTAAGCCTTATGTAATTTTGCCGATTCGCGCTCAGAAGTACGAGATAGGATATACTTTAAAACGTATAGCTTCACATTAGCTAACATACTATTCTTTATAATAGTTAATGATCAAAATCTGTCACTTGTTATGCCTATGGCTTAACCCCTATCTTGCCCCACTATAATTCAACGTAGAGATGCGACCTATATAGCACCAAGAGCAAAACCCGGTTTTCCTTCAGAGCTGCTTTTGCTTGGGCGTCTTCGCGATTAGAGCTAGTTGGAGCATCGCTCCAACCTGCATAATATTTGCGAGGTAGGATGCGAAGGAGGACCATATTGTCGGCACAAGTACATACACCGATACCGCAAGAATGGCGCATATACCACCAGCGATAGTAAAGCAACAAGCGTAATTCCAAGCGGTGTTATCGTTGAATAACCTCTGGTGGGCGACAAGCATAGCCGTGGAGAGGCCTAGAAGTTGCAATATTGTGTTTTGGATTTGCAACCAGAAGTCCGAATCTCCGGTAGAGCCTGGCATATTGGTTGATTTATACCAGGCTATACCCATAAAGATGGAACTTATAGCTACTACTATAAAGACGATGAAAATGAGTGTCGACATCTGAAATGTAGGTGGTGATTCCTGATAAATCTCTGGCACTGAGCGAGGCTCTGGTAGTATGGGGTATGCTTCCTCGTACTTCAAGAGCATATCTCTCTTTGCGAGAATAGCTTCGCAGTAATGATCGAACCCGGAAGCCCGAAGCTCTTTTTCGACAAGTTTGAAGCTATTCTCTATCGTGGTTCGGCAATCCTTAAGATCGATAGCTCGGTTCCTAGCCTTTTCTAGATGTTTCGGTGCCTGGTGCTTCCATAAACCCCTCAAATACGCCATGTTCTCAGCAGCCCGCTTCCATATATCGATATAAGACTTTTCGCCCAAGTTCGCCAATAGTTGCCAAGCAACAGATTGATCTAATGAGACGTAGGCTTTCATAACTTCGTCCATTATTTGGATATCATCGTTGCTAAATCTAGTCGACTTCGAATTAGAGCTAGACCGGGGCCGTGACCTGTTTCGCCATCGTAAATATTCATCGACAATAGATTTATATTGCCCGTTCGCATTGTGGACGGCCTGAACTATCGAGACCAGGCCCAGGCGACAGTCATTAGATAAGTTATCGCTGTTCTGGGAGTTGCTTGATGGTGCTACATTTCGAGTTAGTTACAACAGCTGCTAGTCAAGAATAATCGACGTACGTGTCCACCCCTGAGCGCTATTAGGGGATAGTCTCCGCTTTCCTTTCATTCTTTTAGGACGAGTTCCTTGCCCTTGAAGAATGGTTGATCCCAATTGATTGGTAACAAGGATGTTCATTCTGAACTAAAGTTTGTCGTTACAACAGTGATCCGCGTCAAACTGGGGGTTGTCCCTCTCAATGTAGGTGTGTTACACTGCATATACTTGTAGGCTATGATTCGTCCTGTTACCGAACCTATCATCATCTCCAGAGATGTTCTTTCAAGAAATGGGGATACCTACCTCTTATTAATGATTTTTGAAGGCCGTATGTCTTTGCTAAGCTATTAGGCTAGTTGTGCCTAATAGCCTTCTAATGAAAGTACCTATAATAAGCTTAGAGTGCCAAAGCTCTTAATTTAAAGGTAGTAGTATAAGTAAATCGAGACACAATGAAGGTTAAGGCCCTTGGGAAGATTCAGCAGTCTGTCCTTATTGTATCATGTAGGTCGGTTAGAATTGACTACTGCCGTAAGGAATGTAAGGACTGTTTTATATTGAGATATCTCTCTATATACTGATTAAATATACCAATCAAATCCATGTATGACTTCTACCCGCATGGGCTTTGATATTACCATTACCTAGGTACCTAGGTACATATCCACATCACTTCACCTTGTATAGGTGGAGTGGACCCTAGCACCGTGTTCGAACATCGCCATTTCTATTAACACTGTATTAACTACCTGCTAAGTTGAATTTTGAATAGTGGCCCGTACGCTAAACTTGGGTGGTTTATCGCTATAATTATAACGATATCAACTATTATAGCTGAAGTAATACCGTGCGGTTCCTTTTTTACTCATGCATGGATTGCCAAGACCAGGTGAGGCGGAATGCCCCAAACCTTCACACAGAAGCTGCAATAGAGATTGGTCTGTTGCCTACCTAGATACCTAGGTAATCTTCATTGGCCAGGGTTTAGATGCTTCTATGATAGGCTAAAATTATTAGGAGGTACTTAACTACCTAAAAATATATTTATCATTATGCTCATCATCAAATTAATAGCCGTTTCTGTGTCTAATTGGGTTTTATCAGGAACAATAGAAGTCTCAGTGCGAACAACTCTTTCGAAAGGGTCATTCACATTAACAGACATTAGCCATTTGCGTTGTAATCTAGACATAATTATATACACAAGAGGTTACGAGGCCATATATCCGTTTATGATAAACTTATGCCTCGCCTAAAGCTAGACGGCGAGCTACTAAATATCTAGGAACCCATCTGGTTTATATATGGCAATTGTTTTCCAATATAATTACTGGTCTCCAAAAATCCCCATATAGGTAGATAAAGCGAGTTTACGATCATCTGCGTTTCGTATTATTTATTAATTAAGTCCAGCGCTCGGAGCTCATAATGTGTTGGCCACACCAGTACTACAACTGATTCTAATATCGCCAAACAAGTATTTGAACGATATGATGGATGGGTTGAATGCCCCCGTCCATTATTTCCTCTTTCAACTCTAGCTCCCTTTGCTTTATTCCATGACGGCCCATGTTAATTTCTAAACTATGGCTCTGCTCCATTAAATACTCCAAAGCAGAACCATGCTCGACTCTTGAGACAGTGTAGGCCTTTTGGCTTATACAAACGGCAAAATATATATATCCCGTAGAAAGCTCCTTTGGTCTCGAAAATATAAGCACGAATCTTGCTGAACTCCACGAACCGAATCGCAAGACAAGACTGCTGCCATTCGCTGACTTTTTGCTTATCCAGGGTGGATAGAAAGACGAGAGCTCATACCCGGCGGATGTTAGCTCGTCTACATATAGACTCATCGTCTCGTTCTCCCTTTTGTTGGACTTCGGCCAAGATACTCGTGGCGGTGCTGTTAAGGGGTTCTCTCGGATATAGATAGGGGTGGTTGTCGCCTTCGTGACAAAACAGTTCCACAACAATGGCACGCGACTGAGGAAAGATAGACGTCTCGAGTTGTGTATAAGGGAAAAGAGGTGGGCTCTTCGGATATGGAATGGTGGACTGCCTGGTGCCCGACTGTAGTGATTCTTGCTTCCGCCTTTTGTATTAACCAGCGGGACAACCAGATGGTATCGGTGGCCATTTACGGCAAAAGCACATCTAAGAATGGCTATAAATACACCAATTTTGGGATCGATAGGTCGAATGGGAATTGCTGTCTGTATTCCAATATTGGTCATTGCAGAATGAGAGGTTGTTAATGGCACCTGAGGGCTTGTTTCCTCGTTTTCGAGACTTTCGAAACTGTGGCAATGAGTGAAGTCCAAAGGTGATCGAGCGAGGACATTGTCAGAATATATGTTGGGGTGTTCATTATGTCTTAAGCGATAGCCCCATGCTAACAAACTATCGTCATTGCGTGATTTTATGATTTCTTCCTGGAGACGTAGGAAGGCCTTATCTCCTTCGCCGTAAAGCAAAGGCATATTCACTTCTAGGAGACCTAAAAGACTATAGGCCATGTCTTCAACGCGGGTTGTTTTCCTGTTAGCGGCCCATGCTAACCGAGCCGCAGCACAGAACTTCGAAAAATTCCCAGTATCGAGGGCTTTCTTCGGGATATTTGTAATCTCAGAGAGAAGAGCGAGTAGACCTAACCGATTGAGGTACTTTCTTTGGCAAAAAGGCGCATTCAAATCTTGGTCTCGCAATGAGTTTGCGGCTCGAATAAGTCGACCGATTCGAACTTGATTCCAAGTTTTGTCAAAGAATATTAATTCCATAGGCCCGAGTAATTCTTGAAGCGTCCAACCCCTAGTAAACCAGCGACTTCGTCGGAACTCGGAAGATAGCTCGAATGGATCATCTTCTGCAGATACATCGGCTAGGTATACATAGCACACCGTGGACCTTTTATACCACTGGAACATCGAGTTGATACCTTCGGAAAGTTCAGCGCTGCTTGACTTGTCAATGCAACAAGTATCAATCCACACGTAGTGCAGACCATCTTTTGCCGCTTGCCGACAACATCCTTCTATTTTTGCATAGCCATCTAAGATCTTACGACCCCATTTCGAAAGATCTTGAAAGGTTATCTCATGCTTGGACCACGTATGAGACTACAATTTCGTGTTAGTAATAGGTCACTATGCGCATTTCTTACTTGGGTTCATTACCCTTAAGTAAAGCCCAATGGTGTAGCTGGGGCTTTCTGACAGAGATAAACTGGAGTTATACCCACTAGAATAGCATAAGGCGGGATGGAGTCTCCATTGAATTCCTCCAGTCTTCTTGTGTGGACATGGAGAAGCCGCATTGGATTGGATAATATATATTGCACTTGAACAATCGGAAACCAATCTCCTCACACGGGAGGGAAGAAATTAGAGTGGAATATGAACATATTGAACAATTACTGTTTACCACCCTCACTGCCTCACCGAAGTGAATATTCGTGATTGGAGGCTTAGTCGATAGGTGTTCCTGCAACACAGCCACAAAAATAAAGGTGAGATCCTACCACTGCTGTGTGATGATCTTCGTAAACCAATCAGCTCAAGGTTGGCAGAGCTGTCTGAGCTAAAAGTTCCAGGGGTTGTGGTAGGACTGCATATGTATAGGATTCTTGGCCTATGATCTGGTTGATCCCCTCATGGTGGAGTAGGCTGCATGCACTGCATAAAGCTCGAAGATTGGGGGCTTTTATTGGAGGCCCCGGACTCGAGCTTTGAGACAAAAGCCATAGCTTCAAAATATAACACAATATATAATAAGTGAATGACACCTGAGTATAGTTGAATATACCTGGCTACATAATAGGGGTAATGCCTCTGTCGAATGAGAATGGATCCGCAAACTCGGGTTATAGATGTAGTAGCTATGAGAGCTTACTAGCAGATATGCCGAGGCAGCCCTCCAAAGATATGAAGTGAAATCAAGCCTTCTTCTTGACCACCAGTAGCACGCCCGCTTCTGCTCTCTTAATAACCTCATTCCCCTTTTCTACACCTGCCTCGTGAAGCAATCGCTCAACCTCCCTTCTCATTATCCTGGTGATATCTTCTTCCGTCCCAGCCTTCTCCTGGTTCGCCTCCCTCCATCTCTTCACCGTGCTCACCGTACCCATCAAGGCCTCCAGCTGATCTAAGTCCACCTCCGGCTCCCCCACCGCAAAAATTTGGTCTCCCGGTAAGGCGCCCTCATTCTCGGTCCCAAATTCTATCCGGGAAAATGATTCCTTGTCAAAATCCGCGACAGGAGGCTTCACACTCCATGGTAATGGTAGATCAACGTATAAGTTATTTGATAGAAAACTCCCAGGGGTCATATGCTTCGCGAGATGTTCCTTCTGGAATGCTTGAACCGCGGCCTGGATTGCTGCGGCATTCGGAACACTATCCGCAATTTTCGCACTCTTGTATGTCCACAACGCCACACTTCCACCCGGCTTCAAAACTTGAGCCGCTCTGACCCAGAATGCCGGCATATTAAACCAATGAGCTGCGGTTGCGGCGGTAAGGAGGTCAATACTACCGTCCGGGATTCCGGAGAGGTCTTCAGCAGCGGAAACTTCGAAACGAATCGGCTCTCCGCTTCCAGACGTCCCGCCAAGTTCCTTCGCGCCTGTAATCATGCCTTCCGAAGGGTCAAAGCCGATGGCATGCTGGAAGCGCGTGCTGAGGGCGCGCACGGCGATGCCTGGCCCACAACCAACATCAAGGAGAGTGTCAAGCTTACCGCCGGTAGATGTATGCCGGCTAAGAATGGTGTTGTATAGCGTGGGGTGATAATCCCGTCGGAATTGAGCATAGTTAGATGCTTCGGCGGGGGTAAAGGACCGGAAGGTGGTCTCCGGGACGGCCTCGGTAGACATTTTAGCGGGCAATGAGCAACGTTTAAAATGAAGAATCTCGAAAAGTTAAGATTTTGAAATTATGCAAAGTGAAAATACTGCGATACAATTTATAATATTCTGTTATCGTTCTATTGAATGATGCGATAATAAATTTCACGGTGAGGAGACTGTTATAACCTCCTTTTGATATAGCTGAACGGCGGCGCTAATGAAATTCTCCGTGAACTCCGGTGGACATTAACTACCTGCCTGCCAGTCAACATAGTACTCTGATCTACGTCTAGATTTTCTGGGTAACTTCGGCTCAAAAGGCGAAACACGGACCCAAAATTCTGCGGGTAAAATTATTGCTAAGTGAAAAGGAAGAATTTGGAAATAAGAATTATGTCACCGGAATGTCGGCGTGCAAGTATATTCTCCGGCACGGCCCTCCGCGCCGCGCCGGAGGACCGCGCTAGTTTATTCTGTGACAAGATATCGAAAAAGAAGACGCGTATCAGTTTTGGCACAATTCTATAATCTAAGAATAGGAAACTTATCAAAGACAAGTTGAAAGAATCTTCAATGCCGACATTACACTTTGATTTTTTTCCCTTTGTTCTTCTATAATATTATTGAATTAGTCTTTCAGGACCGAGTCTTGTAAAACCAGTCAGATGATGTAAAATGGATTCTAAGGCACAAAGTGTCCACAATGACTATTGTAACTTATAGTATCGTATTAAAACACTCTTAAGCTTCCAATATTTGGAATGTTCTTCAGAGCTACCAACTTCGCCATACAGCTAGAGAGGACATACAGCTATAACACAAACCAAAAAAAAAATCACCCTCATAATATCTCCGACATTACAGTACATCATGTCCGCCATCGACACCATCAATGCCCTCCATGCTGAGGCGTCGCGAATTATCCATCTGCTCGGTCGAGCCCCTACACGCGCTGAGCGGGGCTTTGCGCTGGAGCTAGCTGACAAGGCTATGGACCTTGCCATCGAGGCCGGCTTCGATGCTCCCGCGATAGAGACCTGTCAAGCCTTCCAGCGCCTTTGCTACGACTCTCTATTACATTCCTACAGCTGGACTGATAACCACGAACGTCGCATGTACGAAAAAAGCGCGTCGAGAACTCCGATAAAGCGTAAGCGCTCGGCCAGGATCTACAATGTCGATAAGGGAGAGCACGTGCTCGAAGCTCTTGAGGCTGTCCATATTGGAAATATGTTGGGTAACCGTGTGTCGGTTGAGCCAAATGCGTGGAATCGCAGGATTCGGTGGGTCGATGAAGTTATGGACCAGCCGATTCGTACGTGGGTTCATTAGCACGGCAGCGTGTGAGCGTACTTGTCGGCATCAAGCCTGGAGCTTGTTGCTTGGCAGGGCGGACAGGTCCTTTTATTAGCCTCCTATACTATATATACTTCATTCAAGGTGGGTTCAGTTTAGTGCGATACAACCGGCTATATAGGAGTCCATTCGATTTGTTTTAAATAGTAATTATTATTTGCAAAATATATACACATGTTAGTAAAATGTGACTTAGACGATGTATACTTATATGTTATAACCATTTTCAAGATCTAATTACTTTTTCCAAGAAAATCTACTATAGCCTACGTGGCAATATACTTGATGCTATACCACTCACTCCTGAGACATCATTGGAGCATGGTTCCAATGATTGCCCTCAATAACACTGCATCGTATTTTATTAGCATGACATCCCACTGGCGCAGCTAAATAAGGATACACCAGAGCCTCACGATGATATCGACGTCGGACGAATTTTGGTCCGTCATCTTCAAAATATGGTCTTGATCCAGTGTCCAACCAATGGGAACCCTGGCTCGATCGCATTCGGTTGATCGCCAAGCGCTGCGCCGTCGGGACTGGACTCTGCTAGAACCAATGGAGAGGCCGGACGGTAGCGGGTGCGAAGAGAATCTGGGGATGGTGATAATTTAGTAATCGACCGCCATAGAATCACTTGAGGGTAACCTCTGAAGAGCCTGTGCCAGGTTTATGGACTCTGGGTTTTGCCTCTCCTGGAATATACGACGGGATTGCCACGCGGCCTGCTGTAAGAAGAAATTCCAACGATGTTTCAACTCTTAGGAGATGTAATAGGGTCAATATTAACTATATTTATAGGTCCAAATCATACGTCTCATCTTTAACTCCCTCTGTTCATAGTTTCTTCTATATATATACCATTTAACTCTTAATTTGTTGCATGTCCGCGACTCAGAACTACCCCCTACACTCCTTATATATTTACTATACCTACATTCGTGTTCAAGTGATCTCAACACTTGCCAAACTTTTCATCCAGACCATAATCATCACATCCTCCATTAGTAAAGAGTATACTCGCATAAAGATACCAGGCAACTGAAGAAATATGTCGACAGGTCTCCCACCAGGCGTACCGCCATACACCAAGATCTTCGGGCCTAGTGCCAACTGTACTCTCGAGATATGTCCCGTGGAGATAAGCGTGTATGGCTACGCGCCTAGTCTCGCTGCTAATGCCGTCTTCCTATGTCTCTACCTCATTTCTGCATGCATACACGTCTACCTGGGGATTCGATGGAAGAGTTGGTTCTTCATGGGATGTATGGTCCTCGGCGCCGTCAATGCTACTTTGGGCTACGCAGCTCGAATTTCCATGCATTACAACCCGTTCAACTTTGCGGCTTTTATGATTCAAATCAGTTCGTCTCTCCTACCCGTATCGTTGTTGCCTCCGTCAAAGTATTAACTAAGATATAATAGTTTGCGTTACTAGTGGTCCGGTCTATTATTCAGCGGCTATCTATGTGACACTTGCAGCAGCGTAAGTAACGGCCCTATGCCTCCCAGTTTCTCTCAAATACAGAAAATCCTGTCGACTGCCTTCAATTAGCTAACTTGCATATAGCATCAAAGATTTCTCTCCTTCACTTTCCCGCTTTAAACCCGACCTTTTCTACTGGGTCTTCATTCCATCCGATGTCGTCTGTTTGATATTCCAAGCGGCCGGCGGCGGTTTATCCACCGCATCCTCTGGCTCGAGTGAGATTGGGGTGGACATGGCGCTTGTTGGTCTTAGTCTGCAAGTAGCAATGATGGTGATCTTCTGTGGCTTCTTTGCAGATTACTTGATCCGCTACTTCCGCTCTGCCCAGTACCAAGCAGACCTAGGAAGAAACATATCCGGTTTGGATTTTGGAACCAGACTGAAGGTCTTCTTCAGCTTTATGACATTGGCTATAATGCTGATTTTGGCTCGATGCACATACCGGCTTGTTGATTGCGCGAGGGGTATAGTGGTGATCTTATTCGCGACGAGCCCTTATTTATAGGCTTGGAAGGAGTGTACGTCCCCTTTGACGTGATAGTATTATGTATCATGCTAATTATTCTCTGTAGGTTGGTCATATCTGCTGTTTATTGCCTCTTGATTGCCCATCCTGGATTTATCTTCAAGAAAGGTCAGCAGAATTTGTTAAATGCATCTGGTTTGGATGGTTACGAGTTCCAAAAGGTCCCTTCTCAACGACGCCCGCATGAACATAGACGATACTTTCAACTGCGAGGTTCGAAGTTCAGACGAGACATATCATCCGCCGATGTCCCAATAGCCGCATCAAACCACGGCTCTCACTTTTCATTTCTATAGATCATATAGTCGTTGTACACCTAGTTTCGCTTATGTTATTTTCGGTTTCATTTAAGTACTACTATTAATAAAACCAAATTCGCATACGCTCAAACAGTATTCAATATGATCCGTTGTGTTATAAGTCAAAATTGGAACGCAAATTTTCATCGTCTGAGAAGCTAAGATTCATCTGATTCTCAATTTCATTCTCGATTGGTCTAGTGGTCAGGATACCTGCTTGTCATCGCACAAGTACGCAGGTGGCCGGGGTTCGATTCCCCGATCGAGAGCATCTTTTTGTTTCTTTAGTATAAGTTTGTGAGGACAACAAGTGTATGTGGGTTTAGATCCCACTATACTTGCCCTAACTTTTCCAACTATTTTAGTCGATATTAGTCAATAACAAGTGTGCGGAACTATCCATTCTACTCGGTGTTCAAGATTTTTCTTTCTTCTTTCTGTCAGTAAAAGTATGATTGACATAATATATATCAATTGTATAAGAATTATGTCTTTTTTTCTTATGATAATCCACTGAGTTTTGACAAACGAGTCTTAAGCCCTTAAACAATCTTTGCCAGTTTATACCTGCGACAAGCTGCATATCCAAATAACATTGGTAGCAATTCAAAGAAATAAATCTATCTATTTAGTAAGGAAGAGTCGTTTCGCTATTATGGCCACTTGAAGCCGCAGAATAGGTAGTCCGTTTTTCGAAAAGCCTCCTATACAATATTTAGTACTTGTTAACCAAGAATTGAATGTGATAAATAGCGGAGTCAAATGCTTATTACCTAGGATCTAAAAATTTGCGCGTTGCTTGGAGCAAGGATACGTTTTTTCCACGGTTCCGGAGGTTCATATAATATTTAAACCCGAAAAATGTCAGGCCTGACAAGCCAAAAGAGATGATAACATAGATCCAGATATAACCAGAGACCACCGGCGACGCCATTTGTTCGTTGGAACCTTCAGGTTCGGTGTCTGGAGAGGATGTGCTTCCACTATACACCGGTCGATATCGCCAATTTCTCCAATCGTTAGACCATTGAAAGATAGGCATAGCGAAAATGGTCTGTCCTGCTGTTAGAATGATACAGCAACACGAACTTCTAAGAACCTACCGCCATGGTTGTCAGGGGTAGATATACCGCAGCCACAAGGGAGATCCCGGTAGCAAATTTTGAGTTTTCAGCACTGATTTGAGCTTCCTTTCTTGATATTTCATTTCTTATCTGAAAGTTGATGAGTGAAATCCATACGGCAGGGGACTCAAACTCTAGAGTGTAGAGAAAGACTTACTATATCTGTTGTAAACATAATACCTTCAACAAACATTCTGCATCTAGCACTTAGACTATCAAGTGTAGAGGTTATATCATTAAATCGCTCCGAAAATAGGCTTGTAGTCTCAGTCATTCTTGCGCTCTTGTCTGGACTTGTGGGAGGTCTGTCTTGGTAATTATTAAGAGTCTCCAAGGCTGAGGAATAAGCTTTTAATAGCTGGCGTTTCGTTGCCTCGACTTCATCTTCAAGCTTTTTGCTGGCCTCTCGAGCCTTCCTAACTTTGTTGATCAACTCCCAACTGAACTGATCTTTGACTTCCTTCTTCCGTTCTGATTCCACTTTTTTCATGAGCTTGTCGTAATTTCCTTGCTCATTATTAACCATGGTAAGAAGATGCTTCAACTGTAGCTCGGTATAGATTCCCAACATGAGTAAGGGATGTCCTATGGCATGCTTCGAATTATTTACCCACCTATCAATCATTTCGATTTCCGCATCTGAGCAGCCGAACATTACAGCTAGAGTTGTTTTTCTCGTATTAAAGTAGGTTGCGGCCATGGCAATGGGGTTTTTGTCGAAGTCGGGATTTATGATTGCGGTATGCGTCCACATTTTCTCTAATCTTCCTCCAAATTCGCGTGTGCGAATTATAGAAATTAAAGATGTTTGCTTTCTTATGGAAATCTTCGGGAAATGGCCGGGTAGATGAAACGCCTCAACTATCTCCTTCCATGACTCTATCACCTCCTCTCCTTCTAGGGGAATATTCATATAATCGAATGGTACATCCTCATCCTCATCGTCATCGTCGTCCTCATATATCGAATATTTTCCCGCCCGCGGAATGCAGCTATATTATTCAATATGCGTAAGTTTACTATCAATATTGAAATATATTGCTTAGACGCGGGGAGAGATAATATACATACAGAATAGAAAACCCATTGTCAGGTAAGTTTCTAACGTCGAAGGGGATCTTTTTCTCGTCGTTGTTTCGAATGAATCCTAAAGACTTATTGACAAGAAGTGGTCACTAGTCAATACAGAATGGCGAGAAAAAACAGGAGATGGTATAAATTTTAGAATAGGCGCGTATTTACTTGTATCCAATCCTTCCAGTTACCCACGTTCGATAACTCACGTATCTCAGCCGCTTCGGGCTACTCTATAGATTAGTGCTATTGGTTGCAAAGTCCTTACTCCTAATTCACCCACCTGTCTTGAATTCCAGTTTTGAATCACCTTGACCTTTTGCCCAGGGGTTTTAGTTGCAAGGTTGTAGTCGAAAAACCTCAAAAGATTGGGAGCTATAAATAGATCAGGATCGGAAGGCCAATCCATTATTAATATCGCTATACCTCAGAGGTGCAGTACAATGTAAATGAAGTCATCT